AAAAGACAATAGGAGGGAAAGCGGTATTGGGGAGAGGGAAAATAAGAAGTGCATTGACAGACTAAATCTGAAGTTGTACATATTGCTTCTTGACTTGTAATTAAGACATATAAGAGTATTTTGGGTATTAAAAATTTTAAAACTTTAGGACTTTGAGCAAATTTGTTTAATAAGGTAACATACACAAGAGGTTTACATATTCAAAGCGTTTGTTGCCCCTTCTTTTGCAGTAATCGACCCCTTGACCTGCTTCATCACTGCTTCCCTCAAATACGTCTTTCTCTCAATCGATCCAAGATCTCAATTGCCAAATCTAACTGAACACCCCTCTCAATCGATCCAAGATATCCATCTGGAAACCTAAATCTCTCCCAATCGGGAAACGCAATCGATCAGGTGTTGTTTCTCAATCCATCCATCTCGATCTGAGACCGGCTCTTTCTTTGTTGTTGCATCGTTGTTTTATCATTGATGTATTACATTGTTTGTGTTTGATTGTCAGGGACGGAGCCGGTGAGGATCCAAATCGACGACGTTTTTCACCGACTGAATCTATCGCCTCGCCTTCATTTGACCGATTACATCCTGATCTCCCTGTAAGAATCTCGAACTCTCGCTATACATGATTACATGTACCTGTGATTGTGAATTTGTGAGGAAATTAGGGTTTTTGGTGTTTTTTAGTTTTAATTGGGTTTTTTATGTAGATCTTTATGAAGAAATTGTTTTAGGATAAGATAAACTATTATTTTGGACAAAGAAAAAGAATATTGTAGCATGTAATTCACTCACCTGATCTTTTAGATTGTACATCAAAAGCATGTTGATGATCAAATGGAAGGCCTATAAATTCATTGATGCAAAGCCCATGGAAGTTGGAATGCCCTGAACTAATCAGAGAGGTTATTTAGACAAAACAAAATAATATTGTAGCTTAGCAAACTAAGTTAGAAAGAAACTTGATACATTAATATGAGTAATTAACAATTGTGAATCTCGTGCCTTCATCCAGCTCACTCCTGGCAACTCGTACCAAATGTCTCTCTTGTGTCCCTGTTTACACACACATGTTCTTATGTTTTTATGCTACTTTTTCTCAATTATCTTCTCGTATCTTTGTTTTTGCAAGCTGGAGTTCTTGACAGAAACAGCCTCTCTACCCTTTGGGGTACAGGCAAGGTCTGCTCCACACATCATCCCCCTACCCTACCTTGTGTGAGATAGACTTGGGTTGGTTTGGTTGTCATACAAATCCACATTTCCATAGAGTAGTTAAACAAAATTATCATTTTCCTATGGTCATCTATTGTGATCATCAAAATCAATATTTTTCTCTTTTCTTAAAGAGAGAGAGAGAGAGATGACTGAAGGAGAGAATGTAAGGGTTTATGATTCGTGGTGGCGTTCCTCACCACCTATATATTGAATGCATCCAAGTAGTGTTATACCTAAGTCCGAATATCAATTGATTATATTGAAGTGAAGACATCTCACTTGCCCTATGAAGTAAAGTCCCGTTTTCTGAGATCCAATGTAACAAGCACCTTTTGAAGAAAGTAAATGTAGCTCCATAGCTAAAGCCTAATACGTAGGAAATACAATTGAAGAATTGGCGGAGGTGATGCTTTTAGCCTACGTGCATTTACACCATGCTAAAGACATGCATTTGAATATTTCTTTACTTCAATTTGAGTTTTAAATTTTATCACTGTCTCAACTTCATTAAGCATTAGAGGATTGTTTATAAGTCTATTAGTGAATTCTTTACCTTGTAGCTTATGTTATAACTTATAAGGAGTACCAAACTGCTAACCAACTATGCCTCTGCATGAAAGTATAAAAGGGTAATTGTTTCGGATTATTGCTATCAACTCCATCTGATCTTTGAGTTTTGGCCACTGGGTACAAAAGATGATGAATGTATCTTGCTGCCTCTCACCTCTCGAGTCGATTCAGTTAGTGATTAATTCATTTACAATGATGGGAGGTCAAATGGTCAACTGAGCAGAATATGCGAGTTATCAAGAAAAAGTTCAGTGTATCGACAAAATTTGAGGAAATTTAAGTTTTACAGAAACATCAGGAAATCAGTCAACCATGAGACTCGTGGGAGGAGAAAAAGTGAGACAAAATCAGCATTAGGTATTGCGTAAATTGAGAAGATGTTAACTGCATTAGAAATGAATAGAATATTGTGACACAAAGAAAGCTCAAAATGATTAGATAGATTGTTGTACATTTGAGAATCCAATACTAAAGTATGTAAGGAGTCGCAAGTGGTGGGTAAGAGACAGAAGTTGACAGGAGAGGTGATTAGGAGAAGAGCGTTAATTCTAACAAATTAGCATGTGAGATTTATACTGGAATTTGTATTCATCTGTTTGTAGTGTAATAGAGAGAATAATTAGGGTGATGTTAATGTGCGCATCATTTAGGTCAGAAATGTTACTAGATTAGCTATATCGTTCAACTTTAGTGTTTGGATATTACTTGCTTTATTCTTTGGAAGATCTTTGGTTCTATCTCTAGTCTCTACTAAACATAGGGATGTAGTTGTATATTAGAAGCATATTTGAACGATTTTGAGTTTGAACAAGGTTCTTTGGGACACAGAGATATATAAACAGGAAAACCACAAAAACATAATGCAAACTATATGAAATGAGCACTTCACTTTCCTAGTTTTGACACTCACACATCCATTAACATAAATTGAATTACATATTTCGATTCTCACAACCATATCAGGTACATCCTTTTAGTTCAATCATTGTCCAAATTAACAAATTTTAAAGTCATGGTTGAGGGACACAGGAAGCTTACTTGGTCAATGAAATGGAAGTAGGTCATTGCTCGTGAACTAAAGCATATGCCACTGACTACCAAGCACTTAGATTAGTGAGATCACATGTCAGATGGAAGGAGATGAAGTAATTGATATAGTTGTGAGAATTTAAGTATGTGATTGATAAATGAAAATTTAAGGTAGCAAAAAAACCATAAAAGATCAGTGATCATCTTATCTAGTTTGCCAAAATATGAAAGGAAAAGGAATCCTTCATAATCACCAATCCTTTTGCAGAACCAAAACTAATGGTCTTCAAAGTTTTTTGTAATTTCTTTGCTTCACACTGATTTTATTCAATTCTTCGTCCAGGGTTCTTCTGTTCGCACAGCCTCACAAATCTTGTTGTTCAATGGCATCCAGTTCTAACAAAGGTGGTGGCTACTATGGTGCTGCTCCATATAGATCAAGGTACTTGTATTATTGATTTTTTCTGAAATTTGTTTCTCAACAACTTAATAACTAAGCAAAGGTTCATTGCCCTTAAAAAGTAAATAAGTGAAGAACATTATTAATGTAAATGTCAACATGATCATTTGAGTCTGAACCTGATATTTTTTACTTCTGATGTTGCCACAAGACCATAATGCTTTCTATTAATCAAGAAAGAAGTAGAAACTTTTGTCAGTCTTATATTCCTTTGAATATGTTCACAACTTCTAAATTGTTCACAGGGAAGGGCTTAGCGCCAGACAAGGGAACAGTTCTGATGAAATCCAACTGCAGATTGATCCAATGCATGCGGATCTGGATGATGAGATCAGTGGCCTTCGAAAGCAAGTTAGACAGTTAAAGAATGTAAGTAACTTTTTTGAATTTCTATCAATTTTTTGTGTTATACAAGCCACACCATCTTCTTCTAATATTTTGGTGAAGACCATACGGTTGGGACAGTGAGACCATTTTAGATATAAGATAGTTCAAAAGAAATGTTACTTCTTTGCAATTTAGGAAAAGCTAGGCTTGGTATCATTAGCACAATACTTTCAGATTTAGTTGTATTCGTAGTGCGCACTTTATATGTCTGAATGTTGCAAGTTGCCCCCGAGTTTTTGTAACCATCTAAAATGTTTTTTTTTTCTTCGAGGCATTGAAAGTGCAGTGATCATTTTAGAATAATAGTTGATAAATTTGTGGTCTAAACAGAAGAAATGCCAGTCATTTGTGAAGATTTAATCTGTTTAATGAAGCAAATACTGTTGCTTGTTAGTCCTTCAACCTCCGTTAGGGGTGTAAACAAGATTTAAATGGATAATGTACTTATTCAATGTCATCTGATATCTGAATTTGTTTCTGTATACCTATCGATTCGATATTCAAAATCTAACATCCGCACCCGTATTGGGTGATGTTATCTGATTCATATCCATTTCTAATTATTTGAATACACATTCCATTTGTTGTTGTATCACAGGTAGCTTCAGAGATCGAGTCGGAGGCCAAATTTCAGAATGAGTTTATTAATCAGCTGGTATGACATAAACTTTATGCTTCTTAGTTAGAAAGCCTTTTTGTATGATTTGGTATATATTTCAACTACGATGCCTTATCGTTGATAATGCTGAATCGCTTTCAGATTTTCTCGATTTATTTATGTTCTTGTGATTAGAGCTTAATACTTAATAGCTTACCAAAAAAAAATGAAGCTAACTTAAGCTTCCTTCATGCAAAAATTCATAAAATACTTCTGCAGACCAAGGAGTGGTAAATGGTAACAGCATTTAGATGGGTTACATGGGGCATGAGGGAAGTAAATCTTTTAGTTGACATACGATGTTTAAAAAATGTTTTATATTGCTTCTGTTTATATTTCTCTTGTAACTGTTGGTTATGTTTATCTTGTAGTTGCTTCTTTTTAATTTGTCGTTGCTTCCTCATATCTAGTTTCTCAAAATTTAGCACGTTTGTCTTTTTCCATCTCTATTCCTATATGTATTGCTAATTCATACCACATTTTCAATGTTTAGTGTATCTGTTCCCATTTCTCACACTTTTCACTAGCCGGGGGTCTTCACGGAGGCAACCGCTCTACTCTTTAAGGTAGAGGTCAGGTTTGTATACATCTTACAACCCCCCCCCCCCCGGCCCCACCTCCTAGTGAGGATATACTGGGCATGCTGGTTTGGTTTATGATATTTTCAAAAAAAAATCCGAATCTTGTAGTTTGCAAAACTTTCTTGAATCTTGTGCCCCTGGATTTGTAAGTTACGAAAAAAGACACAAAATTGGAAGGTACAGTTACATGGGCATTTGGGTAGAGCCCAAATTTGATCTTGCTTCCTTAGACACTTGGCTCATGAAAAATAGGTAGGCTTGGGCTTGGATTGTTGCTTTTGGATAACAAAAACTTATGGGTGCATTTTATATGTTGGAACAGGCTGAGACGGTACAAAAACTTGTCCGACATTTGGCGCAACATTAGACTGGGACCGGACCTGAGTGAGACAAATGCGTTTTTTTTCTATCCCACTAAAATAGTTGGAACAAAATCAGGGAGATGGGATAGGATTGGTAAATTACTAGACTACCCATGTTAAATTGAACCCCTAAAACCTTCCACAATCCTCCACTTGCCTACCTCACTCTCGTCTCTTTTGTTCTATCCGTGTACTAACCACACCCTATTGGCTCGTATAAGCTCGACTATAGGCTTGATAATAAATGTGATCCTTCAAAACAAGATTTCAAAAAAATAACATGTTCATGCTTATATACTATCAAAATATGTATTCTGTTAATGAGCATATTTATCAATACTTATCTACTATGTATGCAAGTATATATGTGTTGATGCATATGCTCACAAAAGTTAATCAGCGTATATGCATCAACACGAATGTGCAGGTTTCCACAGTTTTCAAATTTTTTGTGATCTGAATGGAATGAAGTTGTGATTTTTGCAGCAAATGACACTAATCAAAGCTCAAGCAGGAGTGAAGAACAATATGAGGAAGTTAAACAAAAGTATCATCCAATCTGGTTCAAGCCATGTTCTCCATGTTGTTCTCTTTGCACTTTTCTGCCTCTTTCTGGTTTACTTGTGGTCTAAATTTTCGCGAAGATGAGGTCAGATTGGGATAATTTTGAAGACAAAAAAGCTACTACCAAATACTAGACATTAGTGCGTAAAAAACGGCATGTAAAGTTTACTGTTATAAACCAATTGAAGTGTAAAATGATTTTTGTGGGTACATGTTTATTATAATATTTGTGATTGGTATGGCTTATATTTGAACCGAGCTGAGCCACACCCACGCTTGCTTGGCGGTCAGCTAATCTAGCTTGTAGTATGTGATTAGTATGGGTTACTAAGCCGAGCCAAACACATGCTTGCTTAGCTTGATGCTCGGCTAATCTAGCTCGTAATATGTGATTAGTAGGGTTCATGTTTGAGCGTGCCAAGCCAAGCCCACTCCTGCTCGGCTTGATGCTCAACTAATGTTCGCTTGTAATGTGTGATTGTTTGGGCTTATATTTAACTAATCTCAGGTGAAAAATGAAAATGAATTTTTTGTTCGATAAAAACTGTTAATTTTTATGATAAATTAAAATAGCCAAGAAGATGGTATTTTTTCTAGTTGAGAAGAAACGTATCTAAATATTTATTGGCATTCAATGTTCAAATTAAAAAGAGTAGAAAACTTCACGAAATATTGAGAAACACTTTGATAACTATTCATCTGGACGGTATGCACATGTGCATACAATACAAGTAATTGAAGTTGTTTCTTGGTTTTAATGTATGTGCATGTTCGGACAAATTGCTTACAAATTACTTGTGTGCACGTGTGTATACCGTCCAGATGAACAGTTACTAAAGTGTTCTTTAGTTATCCATTTTCTTTTACAATTTTTTCCTAAAAAAGTGAATTAGTGATTAATTTATATTAACACAAGTCTGCTTCATATTATATTATATTCAGCTGCTTTGTAGCATATTTTGAAGGAATGAATTACAAGGTAAGTTTGAATTAGATAATTGGAGTATGGAGATTGAGATATATAGTCAGGCTTTTTGAACCACCCTACTTTTATTGGTTTGTGGATTTTACAAACTAATAAGGTATTTTGAGCGGAGCTGTTTGACCCAATTGGATTGGATCATGTTATTGAATTCTTGTAAGTTACCATTTTACCCTTTTTTGTTGCTAAACAATTTGTCTCTTGTGTTTCCTTGGAACCACATCAAAACTTAATAAAAACACCACCTTTATGAAAAATATTGTACATTTTCAAATAAAATGCAAATCATATCATTCAATTTCATCAATAATACTGAAATTCAAAAGAAAATTCAATCTCATATCATAAAATGCAATTCCAAAAATACTCATCACAAGTATGCTCTTGGACACCGTAACTAGAGGAATTATAAAATTACTTGAAACAAATGTTTATTATACAGATTCAGATCAAGATCGACAGAGAGGGAAAGCTCGTTTTAGAAGCATCAGATCGCGATGGAGAGAAAACTCCTAACCAACAACATGAGATCGAGGGGAGAAAACATCATTATCCATATTGAGAGATGAAGAGGGAAGTAGTACATTTCAGTCGGCCAGGTGGATTGAGATAGAGAGCGATAGATCTATGGAGGAGGATGGATTGAGATAGAGAGCGATAGATCTATGAAGGAGGAGGATGGACGGATGAATTAAGGGAGGAAGAGAAGCGTATTTTTTCTAAGGGCCATTAGGGTTTGGGGCCAAGCCTACCAAGCCTGTATGTATATGACTCTACTTTGTGGGCTGAGAGAATAAGTTCTTTGCTGGCTGATAAAGCCATTTCCAAACACTTGTATGTTATGTAAGGCTTATTGAACAAGTTATACATGTCATACAACCCATTAACCATATCACAACTTCTTGCTGCTAGAGATGTACAAAATTTCGACAAAACTCTTCATCATCATGATGAAAGTGAAAGTGAAAGTAAAACCCATGAACAATTTATTCATATAGCTTCTTCTGCTACACTTCCAGATTTAAAACCAAAATCCATTTAAAAAAATCCACTCCCTCCTCCTATATTTACAGTCAGTCACTATATACCCCTTCTCTTTGCTACAACCCCATGAAGATAAGATTTTCATCATTTCTCATCTTCAAAATTAGAAGTCATCAATCAGCTATCAACATGCTTTGCAAAGGTTATTAGTTGTGACATTAGAAGAACACTGTTCCCGAATCGGACTCGTTGGCACACATAACCGGCTTCTTTTTGGTTCAGAAATCCTCACGTTTGAAATCGCAACGGCAAGTGCATCAACCAGACCCCCAGAATCATCATCTTCTTGCTCGTCTGAACCTGAACTTCTAGAGGTTGATGATGGAGATGAATACTTGATTATCGAACCACCATCTAACGTTTTCTTTCTAGTCAACTCGACTACATTGGTCGTAGGTGCTGTTTGTGACGACGATGGTCCCACTTGATGTTTTGATTTTGACTTGAACGATAGAGATCTTAAGGTGCGTTCCGTGTAAAAAAGAATCCATGGATGGCCTGTAACAATCATTATTCATTGTGAATAAACTCAAATAACCATAACTATAAATTCAATTCTGATAGACGTTTTCAAGAAAATAGAAACAAATGTGTGCAGTTGAGAGAATCCGTGAAAACCATGTGGGATTATTAAGATCATGCTAGGTAAGCCAGCTGTTAGCTAAGCTAACTCATAAGGTAGTTTATGGCTAACCAAACGGCGCTTTTCAATAAGCTCAAAAAGTAAGCTAGCTTATGGTTGCCAAACATGCATAAAACCACTTTGAATTTCGATTCTTGCATCAGGTGTCAACATTTCTATTTATGTTTGTCCCTAAATAAATGTCCAGTTTCAAAAATAGATAACTAAATTCTTAAACCCACCCTTGAATAATACACAAATACATGAGTAATGAAGAGAGAGAAAATAAACAAGGGTAAAGTTGTCATTTGTTCAACTAAAAAAGTTTAATAATTATGTCATTTCAATCGAAGACACTTATTTTGGGACGGAGGGAGTATTTATTTGGGAGATTTCTTTAACTCACTTTTCTTGTTCAGCTGCTTCATGAGCTATATATAGAGGAGAGAAGGGGGGGGGGGGGGGAGTTCAGAAGAAAACCCCCTACAAAATGAAAACTAAGAAACACCCCGGTAACTATTCATCTGGACAGTATGCATATGTGCATACAAGTAACTAAAGTTGTTTCTTGGTTTTTATGCACGTGTGAGTGTTATGCACATGCGCATACCGGACAAATTGCTTACAAATTACTTGTATGCACATGTGCATACCATCCAGATGAATGGTTAGCAGGGTGTTCCTCACCTATTCATTTTTTTGTGGTTTTCACCTAAACCTAACCCTATATATATTATCTTTATAAATGAAATGTTAATCTCTATTATCCTATTATTGGAATTGCATGATTTACAAGATATTAAGTATTAAAGCATCTCATCCAAACCATCATCTAATTGTGTATAATATAGCCCAAGAGATCCTAGATGACTACCATTGACTAGTTATTAAACTTATTTTTCTTCCATTTCCTCAATTTGTCTTTCACGAAAACAACATCTCTACCCTTTCAACCCTATTAATTGGCATCAATGGAAACAACCCAATTGCCTCGTGTTCATGGGTCGAATTAGCCCTAACCCAGTTTCAACCCTATTAATTGGCGGGTTGGCGGGTTGGCGGGTTGGCGGTTTAGCGGGTTGGTGGGGGCGGGGCGGGTTGGAAGTACTAGGAGTTGAAGGTGGTTGGTATTGGTAAGAAAGCCTATTCGTACTGATTTTACTTTGTTTTTTTCATTAATTTAAACATCAGATTAGTAGATGTGATTAAGTTACTTACTTAGTACTTCCTCAGCTGTTATTCTAGAATCAGCATTTCGTGTGAGAATGCGCTCAAGCAAATCACGTGCAGGTTTGGACACGGATTCCCAAACTCCAGTGTGGAAATTGAGTTCCACAGTCTTGATTGCCTCAAAGACATCTTCCAACGAGTCTCCTTGAAACGGTAAAACACCAACCAATAGAGCGTGTAAAAGAACACCGGCACTCCAGACATCCACTTTCTCTGAATAGTTCCCTGTTAAAACTTCAGGGGCCACATAAGGCGGGCTTCCAGCCAAACCAGCTAAGCTCTGACCTGTTAGGTAAATTTGCAACTTTCAGTAAGCAAAATTGAAGGTACTTCGCAAGAAAGTGATATAATGCACTTTGAAGGTACTTCGAAAGCATATAGACAACTTAACTCGACTGCCTATGGACAATGAACTTGAGAGATCGAGTGGATATTGATTATTGACAACATTGAAGGATTAGCATGACCACAAGTACAATTTGACGGAATTTCCGGAGTTCAACAGCACAAGATGAAGTCTTGTACGCAGTTTATCTTATCCAACGAATGATGTTTTGTGCCAATGAAATCACAAGTACATGCAAGTTTGCAATCTCATTATCAATGTGCATGGGACATCGCATAAAATTGGAACGATACAGATAATATTAGCAAGGCCCCTGCGTAAGGATGACACGGACAAATTGAGAAATGGTAGCTGTGTGCCAGCGAGGACGCTGGGCTCCCAAGGGGGTAGATTGTGAGATCCCACATCCCACATTGATTGGGGAGGGGGACAAAGGTTGCAATGGTATCGAGCCAGGTTTTGATCTTGGGACCTGTGGGCTATAGGCCCACTAATGTGAGAGAAATATTTACAATAATAACGAATGCATATTCTTGGCGGAGATATGTAAAGTTAAAGAACTGCTGAAGCCAAATACTTTACGACTTACAAGATAATGAAATAAATTAACATCCATAACTACTTGCAAAAGAAATTAGAAAAGGATTCTTTGATAACTTATACGATTGAGTTAAATGGGGAAATTGAATGTTGTGTAATTTGCACTAGTATTACATTTTTCTGAAACAGCATATAAAAGTTTATAAAATCCTGAAAAAGGATATCGTGGCAATACAAGAACCAAGTAAACCAATAGACTGAGACCAGAATCACAGAAAGAATTAACCACTACCACCTAAGAGCATCTTGAACAGCTCCACAAAATTGAGAAAAATGAGATTATGGAGATCTTTTTGCTCCAACAGCTTCTACAAAATGGGGAAGTCGGAGAGAGAGAGAGAGAGACTCTACAAATTTGAGAACCTCCACAACTAAATGGAGGAAGCCTCCTCAACTTGCCCAAAAAAAATTAAATGTAAAAAGGAGAGGGGAAGACTTTTTTTATATTATAATAATATAATTAATGGTGGAATATCCAAGATGGAGAAACTTTTGGAGTTGAATGTACTTTTCAGAGATTTTGACTTTTGTTTCTCTACAATGGAAAAAATACAGAGAAACAGTTGGAGATACTCTAACAAACTAAAGCTGCCAACCGAAAACAAGAATAATCCAAGGACCAAACTCACCCCCCCCCCCTCCCCCGAGCGACCAGACAACAATGCAATCAGGGAACCCAAAACAGGGTTCACACTCCTGAAGATAACCTCGCTTAAAAAAAACAACCTCAAAACAGTTTTTCTTCAATCGAGAAAAACTTCTTAAGCCAGCCACCTTGCCTCTCATAGTTGTTAAAAGCGCACCTTAGGTTCTGAGGCTCATAAGGCTCAAGGTATTCGGCTTTTTTAAAGTCCAAGCTAGGCGTATCCATGAGGCAAACTAAGGCCTTGCACCTTGTGGACAAGTCAAACCCCAATATTAAGTAAGTCAACCCCCAATACTTAAGTAAGTTTTTGCATCTTCTTATCTCCAAGACTTCTTAAAAAAGTGTTAATAGCAAAGTTGTTAAAGGCGCAAGGCGCACTTAGGCGCAAAGGGGTCCTAGGGCCTAGGCGCAGGCCTCACGAATGCGAGGCGCATCGTATAAAAAAATAACATATATATACACACACATAATAATTAGTATACACAACTCAAATACCATTATATAAAAAGTAGTAGTATCAACTCAAATACCATTATATAAAACATAGTTCAATTTCAATTTCCAAAAGGCAGCCACAAAAAAATAATAATATACATACTTGATACTTGTATCTAGAAACAGCTAACAGGTAGCAAATAGCAACAAGAGGTCCAGAAGAGAGCCCTTAGTGAGGAAGAATTATAAGCCTCCAAAGCAGCAGCCAGAAATCAGGATTCCAGAAGAGAGCCGTGAGGAAGAAGTATAAGGTTTAAAGCCATGAGGGAGAGTACAATGTATGGGACGTATGTATGGGAGGTATTTATAGGAGATGACTGATTAGAATTGAATAGACTTATCTAATAACTCTTTTTTGTTGAAGTCTAGGAGGTTAAAAGACATAACTAATATTATGTTTTGACTTATTTACTAACAATTTTTTTAGAAGTCTAAGAGACAAAAATATTATTTGAATTTAGGGCAGATCTGTATAAGGCGCGCCTAAGCCTATTTTGCACCTCAGCCAAGGCGTTGCGCCTTGGTGCGCCTCAGTAACTCGCCTCGCCTCGCCTAGACATGGAAAAAGCCCAGTCCTTTGCGCCTTATGCACCTGCTTTTCACAACTATGGTTAGTGACATAAGTCAAACCCTAATATTAAATACCCCGTTCTTATAATCTCAAGCCTCTTTCTCTATAAATACCCAGACCTTAAAACTTCTCCCGCATGGATCATGCTTTAAACCCTTTCCCTTCTGCCTCTATCGAAGTACTGCTGGTTTGCACTGGAGTACTTGCTACATATTTGAGTTGTGTATAACTATGTGTGTGCATATATATATATATATATATATACACACACACTCTTATTTTGGTAAGATGCGCCTCATATTCCTGAGGCCCGGTACCCTTTACGCCTAGTGCGCCTCCTCTCTAATATTCTTGTTGGTTTGAAATTGTTTTTGCAGCGCCATGTAGAATATCGTGGTTTATATATTGCATAGGAGATTAGGTAAAAGGATGGCCTGAAAAAAATGGTAGGGGCAGAAGAGGGGGAGCAACATACCGAAAAAGGGAAGAAAATTTGCAAATAAATTATCCCCACAAGCACTTCACAAGACTATGAAACAACACCTTTTGGTCTACTAATATATAGAAAGGCACTTCGATTACCAAGGATTGAAGCAACAATGATATTAATACAAAAAAAGGGTAACCACAATGCACGAGAGCTCCATGATTCTGACAGGATTGGAGAAGGAGACCTTTGTGCACGATATTTCTTAGGTTCCTCAATGAGGTCGTTTCCATGACCCAAACCCTTGACCACAATGCACTATTAAGTGGATAACTTGTTGGAATCCTATAAATTTATGTCCTCAGTCATTTGTGTGTGTGGATATATACATGTGTGTATGTGTTCTATTAATATTGTTTAATATTACATAATACTCCCTGTAATTCCTGGAGGGACCCAAGTGTAAATAAATGGGAGTAAATATGATGGAGTTACATCCCCTGGATTACATATAAATATTGGTGGTTGTCATGATTAATTACTCACGTTACTTGTCCCTCAAGAATTTCAATAAAAAATTTTAATCTCTAGAGGGAAAAAGAACATACCAAAATCCATCTATCAGATTACAGTAACGAAGAACAGTAACAAATAGAACAATCAAGAAAACCCCAAATTACTTCTCCATCGCATCTTCACGTGGTACTAAGACGAACACCACATTAAGTTTATAAATTTTGTGTTTATAGAAATTCATATTTGTTGTCAGGGATTTGTAAGCATATATTTTGGAATTGATTAACATAAACCGCTAACACCACTGATTTGGTTTGTTTTTCACATATACATGGGCACTTGGATTGAATAATAATTGAAGCAAGAATATTATAATGATATAGAGAAGGGTGAGCATGACACGAATTACATATGTTTTACCTTTAGGCCAAGTTTAATGTTTTAGGCTTTTTTAAGATTATGAATTTCATATGTTACTTTGTCATTTTAAAACATTTTTGTTGTTTTAATTTGTAAGACTTTAATACAATATGTGGTATTAACCTTTATCTTTTCTTTCAGTTATTACTTGTCCGGTTGAACGTCTTGGTACAAGTATAACAAGGCCTCCAAAAAGATTGGAATGGTCCTTTCTTTCAGTCCTAAAGGATTAACCCTCCTATTGCTCCAAGGCTCACTGCTCATGAACAAAACTAATATCATTAACTATATATATATATATATATATATATTGTAGAAGAAAGAGGTTCCTGCAGAGATATATATATATATATATATATATCAGTATTACAGAAGAGAACATAATAATTATTTGTGTGAAATTCAGGCAATATATATAGTGTGATGTTCAAGGGAAAACCCCAAAAAATGAAGAAGTGGGGAACTTTCTAATAACCATTCATCTGTACGGTAAGCACATGTGCATGTTATGCACATGTGAATACTGGACAAATTAATTGTATGCACATATGTGTGCAGTACAAATGAATGGTTATTTAGGTGTTCCGCAATTTTTCGTTTTTTTGCGGTTTTCCACTGAACCTGACCCTATATATATAAAGAACAACACATAACTTAGGTCCAAGAGGCAGAAAGGACTTGTACCATTTGTGATCCTCACTGCCAAGCCAAAATCTGCAAGCTTAATCTTCCCTGAAGCTGTCAGAAGAATGTTTTCAGGCTTTACATCACGATGAACCACACCCATATCATGACAATATTTAATCACCATCATCAACTCCTTGAATATATTAGCAGCTCGTTGCTCAGAATAACGACCTTCCTTTGTCATCTGGTCGATCAATCTACCTCCCGAACACAACTCCATCACTAGATGAAAAGATTCCAAGTCCTCATACACTGCCTTCAATGTCACAACCCCCAGATGCCCTGATAAATGCTGCATTATCTCAACCTCCCTATGAACTGTTTCTTCCCCTTTCACCAATGTTTTACAAGCAAATTCCACACCACTAACCCTGCACCTACACAACCAAACAGACCCAAACTTACCCTTCCCAATCGTAGCACCCTTAATATAATCTTCTGCAATCTTGTTTTTTCTACCCATCTGAGTCGCTACATCAATGCACCCAATCTTCCTCTTAATCCCTCTACCGGATAAAACCAACGATGTGGTTGCACAGGGCGGAGCAGTGGCGGCGATACCAGCAAGTCTATTCTTACATGATCCATTAGGATCAGCACCACCACAAACCACATCTTCCTTACAACACCTTTTTTTCAATCTAACATAATCTTCTAATGAGTAATGACACTTTAGATTCGATATCAATGACTCCGAATCACCAGTTGATTCCACAATTTCCTTTTTATTATCAGTGCAGAATAAGTCACTGCCTTTTCTCTTCTTCCTCATCAAACCCCTCTTAAACTAAATGTCTTCTACGTAAACCTAATCTCGGTTGCGATTCGAACAACAACCTAATTTGATCCTACAATCCATAAGAAAAATAAAAAAAGATTAGTAACAGAAAGGAAAAAAATAGGCCAAATGAAAAGAAAAGCAAATCGAATGTAAATAGATTTGGGTATCTTAACGAAAGAGTAGAACGAACAAGTATGAAGGTTAAATTAAAACGGAAATTAGGGCAAAGAGACGTACCTTGAAGAAGCGATCGTGTCAGAAAATGTAGATTGAAAGAGGTATGCAGATATTTAGGGAAAAATAAACAAGTGTTTGATGGAATTGAAGGTTGAAGAAAGCCCTAAATGACTCTGGGTGTGAAGAATGGATGGATTGATTTGATGAAGATCTGGGATGCTTGTAGATTTGGAGGGGTTTTAGCGACACCCCCCTTTTATAGATGGAATCGACGTGTCCCCATCTGCAAACGGCCGGGATGCCCCTCTTTTTTTTCTCTTTCTTATTATTTTATTTTACTTTATTATTTTATTTTACTAAATACCTGGGGAAAAAATGTCACAAGCTAACAGATTCAAATCCATATAAATTTTTTGTGTTCGTAAAAGCAGATGGTATTAAGAAAATCTTTAATGGTTGGATATCCAGGTTAATAAAAAATAAATTGTATTAAGAAAATTCTTAGCAGTTATGTTATTATTACATAAGTTTTGAAGATTTATAATGTGATAACCGGATCCTGTTATCATCCAAGGTAACCAATACATGGTTATTTAATATGTGATTACTTAACAACATGATAAATTGTTATATTTGATCATTTAGTACGTGAAATTATATGCATAAATGCATATGCAAAAGGTGAGTATGCATCAAATATGTGTGCATAATTATGTGTTTTGCATGTACAGGATGGAGTATATGCATGGGTGTATATATATATATATATATATAGACTTGGGATCATGTGAGACCAAGTATTTTTTGTGATACCCGTAAGACCAATTTTAAACCCTTGGATTAGATCTACAATCGTCATATCTGAACATTCATAAATACCACGAGACTCCTCAATAATTACAAAATTGCCACCATGCAATTTAGACCATTAGATCATTAACTTATAAAGTTGATCAATGAACATAAATTGGTCTTATGGGTCTCACGAAAAACTTTTGGTCTCACGTGAACCCAACTCTATATATATATATATATATATATATGTGTGTGTGTGTGTGTGTGTGTGTGTGTGTGTTTTAAAATAATGATGCATGCATATGGAGTTAGGCATGCACATGAGCGGCTGTTTTAGCCGACTTTCCTTAAGAGGAAAGATATAAAAGGAGGGTGAGGCCTTCCATTTCCTTCTTCTTGCTATTTTGAGAAAAGTGTGCGATTTAAGAAAAGGAAGAGTGATTAGATTATTTTTCTAACTGGATTCAAAGAAGTAATTCTCAAAAGTGTTTCCAAAGGTGAGTGGTTAAAAATGTTTTAAACCTCTTTGAATTGCATATTTGTTCGTATAACTTTTTACCCGGTTTTAAGTTTAAATCGGATAAGTGTTTTTTGGGATTAGAATAAACCGGATAAAGTGTTGACCGGATTGAGTATAAATCGGATATAGTGTCATCCGATTTAGGGTAAATCGATCATAGTGTTGATCGGACTAAATTATTGGAAAAAAAATTCTATTTTTGAAAATTTGTTGAATGTTTTGAACGGAGAAGTAGGAATACGATCAAATGGCTATTCGGTTTTGTTATTAATCGAACAAAAGGTTGCCCGATATGTTTTAAACCGCATAGTGTGTTGTTTGGTTTAGATGTAAACCGGACAAGGTTTTGAGAGAGTGTTGTCCAAATTTGTAAATTGGACAAGGACGTGTTGTCTGGATTGCTTAAATCGGACAAGTTGAATTGTGTTGTCTGGATTGGTTAAACAGGACAAGGCTTGACCGGAGATGAAGTCCGGCCAAGTCTGTGTTGACCGGATTTGTACATTGACTTGTGCATTGTTTCTACAAATCATCATTTTTAATATTCTTGTATAAAGAATGAGAATTTTTGATAAAAATGATTTTTGAACCGATAATATTCCATTGGGACATTTTTTACTGCGGTCTGTTCTATATGGAATTATTTTGTTAAATGTTTTGATGAGGAAATAAGGGTGGTATATTAAGAAGAGGTGTACCATGGGATAATGATGAAATATCAAGAAGAGGTGTACCATGGGATAAGGGTATCATATCAAAGAGAGGTGTACCTTTGGATATAAGGGTGACATATCAAGGAGAGGTGTACCTTTAGATATAAGGGTGACATTTATATGTGTGATGTATAATATAACTCTTACTATATCTCTTAAGATTATTGTGGTCTGGAGTCTTTATTTCTTTGTGATTTAAAGATTTAGGATCAGGGTTCTTATTGAAAATCGTAATATGGATGTTATTGAAAAGGGAATAACAGGTTGGGCCTTAAACTTTGAATAAACCTTGTTTAATTAAAAAGGTTTAAAAGTGGCATTATGATAACCTGGTTAGTACAAACCTGTTTGGGTTTTGATGTATTATCTGAAAGCAGAGAGTTTGGCTTGAAAAATGGAAAGGTACTTGTAATATATTCTTACTTGTTCATATATTTGTTATATATATGAAAAATTGGTTTACATAAAGTTTTGGTGATTCTCACCCTGCAATAACATAAAAAGGGAACTCACTAGACCTCTCGGTCTAACCCTCATTTTGTGATTTTAATTATGTGTTGCAGGAAGTGCAGACGGTAAGGGGAAGGGAAAAATGTAATATTTTCCTTTATACATATCTGCATGAAGATTTGTCTATGATATGTATAGTTTTGGTTAGATGAACGTTGATTAGTACAAGAATTGTATTAAGAATTTTTGGACCATGTATTCTGTAATGATAGATTCTTGTACTAAGGGACCTATGTGGTGTATAAATATGTATTTCTTGTGTATGAAGTATGTGTTGCATGCGATGTGTGGTATGGGGTGTTACAGAAAGTGGTATCAGAGACTGAGTTTAAGAGATTTAGGTATTTAACAACATGATACATAGACTTAAACTATTTCATTATGATGAGTTAAAAAAATAGTGTGTAAGGTAAATTTTATTTATATCTGGTCAGTGTAATTATGAATTTACAGGTACATATCTGGACTTGAATACTTCATTATATTTGAGAATGTAAATACGTGATCATTAACATTACAATATGCAGATGTCTAGTCGAACACGGAGATCTGAAAGAATGGCTCGTCCTGAGTTTGAAGAAAGAGAGGAATCACCTGCTAATCTCCCGACAAGTACTTCTGGAAATAGAGGTCGGGGAAGACCAAGGGGAAGAGGCAGAGGGAGAAGCCAGACACAGGGAAGGGGTTGAGCTGAAATACATTCTGAGCATGAAGAATCTCATTATGGGACTGTTCAGAAGGGATCAGTATCGCACCCGGAATACATAATCAGAGATATGTTGGCTGAGGAAATGGGGAAGTTAAGGGAAACTTTGACGTCTATTATGGGAATACCGGCAAGAGTGAAAATGGAAAGAGTGAAAGTACATCCCTCTGTTCCGGTTGTTCATAACAAGGAAGGAGACATCAAAATGTTCATGACTTGTAAACCACCAAATTTTTTTGGGAGAGGGATCCAGTAAAAGCAATGTGTTGGATCAAAGAAAATGAATCTGTGTTCAACACAATCCGGTGTCTAGAAACCGATAAAGTCCGATTTGTTGTATCAGTATTAAAGTCAAATGCTTTGTTCTGGTGGAAAGTGGAGTCCTTAGCCAGAACAGATGTCTTACAAACCTTATCTTGGGCGGAATTTGTTAACTGATTCAAAGATCAGTTTTGTCCCAAGACAGCTGTACGACAAATGGAAGAAGATTTCCTGAAATTAGAACAGGGCAATGGAACGGTTCGAGAATATACTGAGAAGTTTATTGAATACTCTCGGTTTGTTGAACATTATATTTCATCAGAATCCAGGAAGGTGGAGAGGTATATTTGGGGGTTAAAGCCTTCAATCTGTGAATTTGTAATTGTTATGAACCCCACTACCTTTTCACTAACCATGGATGCAGTAGAAGTTACGGAACGGAATAAGAATCGGCAATCAGAAGGTAAGGTTGTGGACAAAAGAAGATGGGAAGGGACTTCATTTAACTTTCGAGGGCCAAAAGCAGTAAAATATGATAATAGAACTGAACAGAAAGTCAGCGAGAAAGTCTGCACATAACGCCGACAAGTTCATCAACTCTTTCCATTTTCACTCTTTCCATTTTCACTCTTGCCGGTATTCCCATTTGCTCATCCAACAAGTTCATTCACTCTTTCCATTTTCACAAGAAAATGTTACAAGTGTGGCGAAGCGGGCCATTTTTCGAGGAGTTGCCCATCCAACAGAAGATGTTTCAATTGTAATTCCCCATATCATATTCGGCCTAATTGTCCATTGTTGAGAACTCCACAGTTAACTATGGGGAGTAACGTGTCGGGTACTCGGGGAAGACCTACAGTATCAAGGAGGGGCACGGGGATGGTCCTTCCAGATGACAAAGAATGAGGCAGAGGCAGTGCCAGATGTAGTAACAGGTACCTTCCTTCTGAATTTTATACGTGCTAAAGTGTTGTTTGATTCCGGTGCAAACTTTTAGTTTGTATCACCATCGTTTGCTGAAATTGCATGTTTGAATTATGTGTTACTTGATGATGAATTAGTAGTTGATACTGCTAATAGTCATGAATCTATTACTAGTGTATTCAATAACTGCGTTATTGATATTGAGGGATGTGAGCTGCCAATTCGGTTATTCCCTATGCCGATGAAAGAATTTGATGTAGTAGCGGGTATGGATTGGTTGGCAGAGCATCAGGCCAGTATTGTTTGTAATAAGAAAATGATCAGAATCATTTTGCCAGACCGAGAAACAGTTGTTATCTATGGTGATCGTCAGGATCATCATACTAGTCTTTTATTTGTGATAAAAGTCCAAAAATGTATCCGAAAGAGGTGTCAGGGGTGTTTGGCATATGTGATTGATGTGAAGAAAGAGAAAGGAAAATAGGAATTGATTCCGATCGTTAATGAATACCCAAAAGCTTTTCCAGAAGATATGTCTGGTTTACCGCCAGACAGAGTCATCGAATTCAGAATCAATCTTTTACCTGGGGCAGTACCTGTAGCTAAGGCACCGTATCGGTTGGCTCCTTCAGAATTGAAAGAATTGGTTACATAGTTGAAAGATTTACATGATAAAAGATTTATTCGACCCAACACTTCACCTTGGGGTGTTCCGGTCTTATTTGTTAAGAAGAAAGATGGATCTATGCGGATGTGTATAGATTATCGGGAA